GTCTTGGTACGAAATGGAATATTCCAGTATCATAGCTCGTAAAACTTGCAACACATCCCTGTTAATACGGTCTACGGAGCCGTTCAACCATGGGCTCTATGCCACAACGAAGTCCTGCTTGGCCTTCATCGCCTTACTGAGTAGGGCCAGTACTTCACTCTTAAAATGTCTAGCACTGTCACTGATCCATGTCGTAGGTACTCCGAAACGGCTATGCCACCATAGCATCGCTTCTGCAGCGACTGCACTAACCGGTGAGTCACAGGGCACCAGCTCGCAAAAATGACTGAAGTTGTCTTTTATAATGAGCACGTATTTACTGGTCCCGAAACTTTCACCCAAAAACAAGAAATCCCAGTTGATAGCTTCGGTTCGCTTGGCTGCACGATAGAGAGGCCCCAACGGACGTGGTATTACTCCCCCACCTTTTACATGATGACAAAGTAGACAGCTCCTCAAAAACCGTCTTGCTCTATGCACCATGTCCTTGAACGTAAAGATTCTCTTGATGTGGTTCAGCATTACTGCCTCTCCACGATGACCTTGCAATCCACAGTGAGAGATAATGAATAGTCTTTGTATGAGGTCGCTTGCCGCTGTTGGAATCCAAATTTTTCCATTGGATCTGTACATACCACTACTGTCTTCTGTACCATCCTTAGGCTTGTCGCGAGAATGTGATCTCTGTACAGTAGCTATCTCAGTCATGGTAGGCCAGATGAACGAGTCCTGATCAAGGGGTCTCAGTAGTGGCTGTCGATTCAACGTAGTCTGCAGTCGAGTCACTCTCTTGAACCGTGTGACCGTCACTGGTTTCATTCCGCCCCAACGTGAAACTAAATCCGCCCAGACATTCTCCTCACCTGCGATGTGGACGATTGTATACCGGTATTCACTCAGTTTAAGTGCCCACCGTAACAGTTTACCCCTCACATGCTTCTTCAATTCTGGATCGGGAGCGAACATGTAAATCAAATTGCGGTGATCACAGAGAATCTTGAAGCCATCAGGCCGCAACAGCAAATAGTAGAGGTCATCACAGGCAGAAACTATAGGATAAGCCTCTTTCTCAGTAACGGACCAGTGCAGCTGTGCGCCGGTGAATGTGCCTCCTTTGCAAGTCAAAAGCTCATGCTTCTGCTCAGTGACGCTTTTGGCTTGATCCCAGGACTCAACTTGAGTCAAAATAGCCGACCAGCCAACATCAGATGCATCACAGAACAGAGAAAAAGTCGCATTGTCCTTGGGGTGAGCCAGCATGGCTGTATTTGTCAGCAGCATCTTCACTTGGTCGAAACTTATTAGTTCGTTCTTGCTCCGTCGGAGCGAGATCCCAGAGCAATTCGCTTAGTCTTGCGTTTCCCTTCCAGAGCTCGATCCAAACACTTTTGCAGTGGCTGTGTAGTACGAGCGTAATCGACCAAACTATCGCGCATCCAGTTGGAAGCGCAAATAAATTGCTGAAGTTCACCTGCAGTTGTTGGTGGAGGCATACTAGACAGAGCAGCAACACGGTTTGGGTCATGCGTGATGCCATTCTCCGAAATTACCTTCCCGCACCACGTAACAGACTGTTGGTAAAGCTTCGTCTTGGTTGCACTGAACTTCAATCCGTAGTGAGCCATAGTTCCGAACAACTTGTCCAAAACTGCCAAATACTGCTCAATTGTGTCTGCAAATAGTAGTAGATCATCTATCCAAATCAGCAGAGACTTGTAGAGCAATTCAGAAAAACAATTTTCCATCGTGGCTTGGAAATGCAAAGCAGAGTCGCAACTGCCTTGCGGAACTCGAGTTGGAGTAAAACTCCCTTCATCGGTAGCATAGGACAGAATTTCTTGACTTGATTTTTCTAGTGGTAACTGCCAGAAGCTTTTGATAAAGTCAAAAAGTCCGTAATGCTTCTTGTGTCTCGCATGATGTAACTTAGTGTCAAGGTTGGGCATTACTCCAGCTATAGGTTCAGTTCTTGCATTCAAAGGTTTGTAGTCGCTGGTTTGCCGGAAGCCATCAGAGCCTGACTTCTTAACGGGCAGTGCAGGGCACGACCACCAGCTGGCTTGGTTACGATAAACCCATCCCAATTCTACAAGCTTCTCGTTAAATTCTCTCATGAACTTGCTCTGAGCCGGCGAATATTTTCTCGATTTGCACCTATAAGGTGTGGCACCCTGCTTAAGCCGTATTTCGTACGCAGGTACCTTCGCAGGAGGATCATTACGAAGATCAATCCGCCAAATGTCATGTTTCCGTACGAGTTCCTCTAATTTCTGGCGATGCATTACCGGAAAGCCAGCTTTGATCGCATTTTCAACAAGTTTTTCCAAATGCTCCAGGATCTCGGCAATATCCGGTGGTTCAGTTCTTTTGTCTTCGCAATTATCGTAAGGATCAACTTCGTCGTCAACTTGCGGCTGGGCAAGCTGCTCGAGCAATCTGTTAACGTCGATCCCCAAGGACTTCAGTAAGTCCTGGCCTACGATGAATTCTTCGTCATCGTCATCAATCAATAAACACTCGACCAATTTCTGGGGTTCCACGATTCCAGCGGCTGTACCAATTTGAATGGCCAGATCTACAGCTCTAACAGCCTCGACCCAATGCCCCCCAATTGTACGGCCCTTAATCGGATTTTCCAGTTCTTTGATCAAAATATCATTTTCCATTACTGCGTTCAGCTCCTCCAAGGTCTTGGTACTGATAAGGCATCGGTCTGACCCAGTGTCTGCACAGTAAGGCTTTCGGAGGACACTATTCAACAGAATAGTGCCCGCCTCATTTCACTTGTCTTCACGAAGTCGATTCATACCCACTTCATCAGATGTCTTGCCCTTGCTCTTGTGAAATTGTTTAGGCAGGTCCTTCTTCTCAGCTTCAGTGGCGTTAGGACACTTGGATACCCAGTGTGAACCTCCACACTTCAAGCACCCTTTGTCTGGAATAGCAGGTAATTTCTTTTTTGTGTCTGCGCGTGGTTGTTTTCCAGAAGTGGTCTCTGCCTTGTGTGAAGCAGTTTTATTCCCACTACTATCACGCTCCGAATCAATTCTGCGCTTGCTCTTTTTTT